ATATATATATATATATATATATATATATATATATATATATATATATATATATATATATATATATATATATATATGCGAACAAGCTTGTTTTTATATTGGCTTGTTTTTATATATATATATATATATATATATATATATATATATATATATATATATATATATATATATATATATATATATATATATATATATATATATATATATATATATATATATATATATATATATATATATATATATATATATATATATGAATGAAAACTCACACCCCAGAAGTGACTCGAACCCATACTCCCAGAAGCAACACAACTGGTAACTACAGGGCGCCTTAATCCGCTTGACCATCACGGCCGTCAAAAGGAAGTGATAGCCGAGGCTATTTGAGCCACTTCCCCGACGGCAACTCGGATGGTAATCTTGGGCATAGCATTTCACCAAATCACCTCATTCTTTGGGGCACACGTGAGGAACACAAATGCGAACAAGCCTGAATGGTCCCCAGGACTATATGCGAATGAAAACTCACACCCCAGAAGTGACTCGAACCCATACTCCCAGAAGCAACACAACTGGTAACTACAGGGCGCCTTAATCCGCTTGACCATCACGGCCGTCAAAAGGAAGTGATAGCCGAGGCTATTTGAGCCACTTCCCCGACGGCAACTCGGATGGTAATCTTGGGCATAGCATTTCACCAAATCACCTCATTCTTTGGGGCACACGTGAGGAACACAAATGCGAACAAGCCTGAATGGTCCCCAGGACTATATGCGAATGAAAACTCACACCCCAGAAGTGACTCGAACCCATACTCCCAGAAGCAACACAACTGGTAACTACAGGGCGCCTTAATCCGCTTGACCATCACGGCCGTCAAAAGGAAGTGATAGCCGAGGCTATTTGAGCCACTTCCCCGACGGCAACTCGGATGGTAATCTTGGGCATAGCATTTCACCAAATCACCTCATTCTTTGGGGCACACGTGAGGAACACAAATGCGAACAAGCCTGAATGGTCCCCAGGACTATATGCGAATGAAAACTCACACCCCAGAAGTGACTCGAACCCATACTCCCAGAAGCAACACAACTGGTAACTACAGGGCGCCTTAATCCGCTTGACCATCACGGCCGTCAAAAGGAAGTGATAGCCGAGGCTATTTGAGCCACTTCCCCGACGGCAACTCGGATGGTAATCTTGGGCATAGCATTTCACCAAATCACCTCATTCTTTGGGGCACACGTGAGGAACACAAATGCGAACAAGCCTGAATGGTCCCCAGGACTATATGCGAATGAAAACTCACACCCCAGAAGTGACTCGAACCCATACTCCCAGAAGCAACACAACTGGTAACTACAGGGCGCCTTAATCCGCTTGACCATCACGGCCGTCAAAAGGAAGTGATAGCCGAGGCTATTTGAGCCACTTCCCCGACGGCAACTCGGATGGTAATCTTGGGCATAGCATTTCACCAAATCACCTCATTCTTTGGGGCACACGTGAGGAACACAAATGCGAACAAGCCTGAATGGTCCCCAGGACTATATGCGAATGAAAACTCACACCCCAGAAGTGACTCGAACCCATACTCCCAGAAGCAACACAACTGGTAACTACAGGGCGCCTTAATCCGCTTGACCATCACGGCCGTCAAAAGGAAGTGATAGCCGAGGCTAAATGAGGTGATTTGGTGAAATGCTATGCCCAAGATTACCATCCGAGTTGCCGTCGGGGAAGTGGCTCAAATAGCCTCGGCTATCACTTCCTTTTGACGGCCGTGATGGTCAAGCGGATTAAGGCGCCCTGTAGTTACCAGTTGTGTTGCTTCTGGGAGTATGGGTTCGAGTCACTTCTGGGGTGTGAGTTTTCATTCGCATATAGTCCTGGGGACCATTCAGGCTTGTTCGCATTTGTGTTCCTCACGTGTGCCCCAAAGAATGAGGTGATTTGGTGAAATGCTATGCCCAAGATTACCATCCGAGTTGCCGTCGGGGAAGTGGCTCAAATAGCCTCGGCTATCACTTCCTTTTGACGGCCGTGATGGTCAAGCGGATTAAGGCGCCCTGTAGTTACCAGTTGTGTTGCTTCTGGGAGTATGGGTTCGAGTCACTTCTGGGGTGTGAGTTTTCATTCGCATATAGTCCTGGGGACCATTCAGGCTTGTTCGCATTTGTGTTCCTCACGTGTGCCCCAAAGAATGAGGTGATTTGGTGAAATGCTATGCCCAAGATTACCATCCGAGTTGCCGTCGGGGAAGTGGCTCAAATAGCCTCGGCTATCACTTCCTTTTGACGGCCGTGATGGTCAAGCGGATTAAGGCGCCCTGTAGTTACCAGTTGTGTTGCTTCTGGGAGTATGGGTTCGAGTCACTTCTGGGGTGTGAGTTTTCATTCGCATATAGTCCTGGGGACCATTCAGGCTTGTTCGCATTTGTGTTCCTCACGTGTGCCCCAAAGAATGAGGTGATTTGGTGAAATGCTATGCCCAAGATTACCATCCGAGTTGCCGTCGGGGAAGTGGCTCAAATAGCCTCGGCTATCACTTCCTTTTGACGGCCGTGATGGTCAAGCGGATTAAGGCGCCCTGTAGTTACCAGTTGTGTTGCTTCTGGGAGTATGGGTTCGAGTCACTTCTGGGGTGTGAGTTTTCATTCGCATATAGTCCTGGGGACCATTCAGGCTTGTTCGCATTTGTGTTCCTCACGTGTGCCCCAAAGAATGAGGTGATTTGGTGAAATGCTATGCCCAAGATTACCATCCGAGTTGCCGTCGGGGAAGTGGCTCAAATAGCCTCGGCTATCACTTCCTTTTGACGGCCGTGATGGTCAAGCGGATTAAGGCGCCCTGTAGTTACCAGTTGTGTTGCTTCTGGGAGTATGGGTTCGAGTCACTTCTGGGGTGTGAGTTTTCATTCGCATATAGTCCTGGGGACCATTTAGGCTTGTTCGCATATATATATATATATATATATATATATATATATATATATATATATATATATATATATATATATGTCGTACCTAGTAGCCAGAACGCACTTCTCAGCCTACTATGCAAGGCCCGATTTGCCTAATAAGCCAAGTTTTCATGAATTAATTGTTTTTCGACTACCTAACCTAACCTAACCTAACTTTTTCAGCTACCTAACCTAACCTAACCTATAAAGATAGGTTAGGTTAGGTAGGGTTGGTTAGGTTCGGTCATATATCTACGTTAATTTTAACTTCAAAAAAAAAAATTGACCTCATACATAATCAAATGGGTAGCTTATATATATATATATATATATATATATATATATATATATATATATATATATATATATATATATATATATATATATATATATATATATGTCGTACCTAATAGCCAGAACGCACTTCTAAGCCTACTATGCAAGGCCTGATTTGCCTAATAAGCCAAGTTTTCATGAATTAATATATTTTCTCAATTTGTTTTCTTTTGATATAATAAACCTACCCATTTCATTATGTATGAGGTCAATTTTGTTTTATTTGAGTTAAAATTAACGTAGATATATGACCGAACCTAACCAACCCTACCTAACCTATCTTTATAGGTTAGGTTAGGTTAGGTAGCCGAAAAAGTTAGGTTAGGTTAGGTTAGGTAGGTTAGGTAGTCGAAAAACAAATAATTCATGAAAACTTGACTTATTAGGCAAATCGGGCCTTGCATAGTAGGCTGAGAAGTGCGTTCTGGCTACTAGGTACGACATATATATATATATATATATATATATATATATATATATATATATATGTCGTACCTAGTAGCCAGAACGCACTTCTCGGCCTACTATGCAAGGCCCGATTTGCCTAATAAGCCAAGTTTTCCTGAATTAATATATTTTCTCTAATTTTTTTCTTATGAAATGATAAAGCTGCGTATTTCATTATGTATGAGGTCAATTTTTTTTTATTGGAGTTAAAATTAACTTAGATATATGACCGAACCTAACCAACCCTACCTAACCTAACCTAACCTATCTTTATAGGTTAGGTTAGGTTAGGTAGCCGAAAAAGTTTTTTCTTGACTGCGAACTTAGGTGTTGCGTGAGGCGGCTTTCTTGATTGCTCAATACAATCGCTAGAGAGATGAGCAATGAGAGTTAGCACGTGTCGTCAACCGCCAGCAATTGTACACCTGGGACGGAAATGGTGCGATAATATACCGTTCTGAAGTTCGTTATCAAATATTCTCTAGTGCCCATGTTTAACATATATATTTTCGTACGTAAACACGTGCAAGGTCAAACTATCCGACCAAGAGACTTGATTCGAAGTAAGAGTTATCCGGCGATGATAAGATGAAAATACGGTGAGGAGAAGGGCAAGGTTCAAGGTGCTGTTACCTTTACTTCCAGCACCAGGAAGGTTAGGTTAGGAGAAAGCGCCGAGCCATTAAGACTATATAGCACTTGGAAGGAATCAGGGTAAGGATTAGAGATGGGACGAGGGACAAGGAATGGTGCCCAACCACTTGGACGGTCAGGGATTGAACGCCGACCTGCATGAAGCGAGACCGTCGCTCTGCCGTTCAGACCAGGAGAGGTCAGGACAGGTTACGCTTCTTGCAGCTCCTTCCCTGACGGTCCAAGGACTTGGCCAACATTCCTTCATGCCTATATGCCCCAGCTCCTGTCCCGTCCTCCCTTCCATATGATATGTGGTCATAATGACTTACCGCTTTTTTCTCATTTATCCTATTAAATAAGCTATGAAAGATATGAACTCAATATTTCTTGAAATCCAAAAATGTTTGGAAAGGAAACGTACATGCAACAGTAACATTGTTCGTGACATATAGTGTGAGTGGCTCAACGTTGTATACAATAAATTACTAATTCTTCGCACGCTATAAGATATTCAGTTGTAATGTCGACGTTCACTTACTCCTGAAAGAAGTGGCTGGTAAGTTATTCAGTGATAATGCGGACTACAGTCATTCCTAAGAACAAGAAGGCAATCATTTACTCACTGATCCTGTGGGCTGTAGTTGTTCCTAAGAAAAGTCTTGGATTTGCCGCCATGCGAGGCGACAGCCAGTAACAGCATGAGGGGCAAAGACGCCTGCAGTATGGAGGAACTCCTCCAGGCAGGCATAGCCGCCATCTTGGGGGCCTCTACGGAGACTTGACTATATATTATATATGTTACATATCACCACCAAGTCCTAAACGATTTAAAATGTTTTCTATATGTAAGTGTTGTGAGGGCAGGAGAGGGGAGCGGAGATGTGCACAGTGCGGGTGTCAGAACACGGCTGATGGTGGTTCCTGTTCCCGGCCCAACACCTTACTCTCCATCATCTTGGTCACGTGACACTTGACCTCATAACCACTCTATCTTCAACTCACGCCAAAATTGTAATGCCTATTACCTTCTAGATCAATTTATCATGTAATTATACTATTACAACGCAAAATACCTGTTAATTTATTAAACAATTCATTTTGCAAGTGTCGTAGCCGAGCCTCGACGCCATTATTTTGACCACCTAGAAATAAACTGGGTGGTGACACGCTCATGCCACATTAATCCTTCATTTTCCCACGTGCTTCGTCTCTAGAAGCATTGAAGAAGACACGAACGATGAACGAAACATTGTGACGAAATTAATATATATCAGGGTATAAGCACCGGAAGCCCATCTGATACACTGAGACGCCCATCCGACTCTTGCCGACGCCACCTCCCGACCATAGCGTTTCTTCAGGAAGTGTGGGGCCAGGGCGAAGGAGCCTGGAGGAGGTGAAGGGTATTGGGGCGGGCGTAGGCAAGTGTTAGAGTACTAAAGAGCCACGCAAGATGGCGCACGAGAGGATCATAGCTACATCAACACCATGGGTCGTCATCTTCCCCCCCCCCCAGTGAAGTTATCGCAAGTTCTATTGCACTGGTGCACACGCCCGCCTCCCTCATCGCCCCGCATACTGGACGTGGGCGAGTGCGTCGCCCTGCTCCCCTTGTTGGTGGGGCGAGGTGCGTCGCCCTGCTCCCCTTGTTGGTGGGGCGAGGTGCGTCGCCCTGCTCCCCTTGTTGGTGGGGCGAGGTGCGTCGCCCTGCTCCCCTTGTTGGTGGGGCGAGTGCGTCGCCCTGCTCCCTTTGTTGGTGGGGCGAGGTGCGTCGCCCTGCTCCCCTTGTTGGTGGGGCGAGGTGCGTCGCCCTGCTCCCCTTGTTGGTGGGGCGAGTGCGTCGCCCTGCTCCCCTTGTTGGTGGGGCGAGGTGCGTCGCCCTGCTCCCTTTGTTGGTGGGGCGAGGTGCGTCGCCCTGCTCCCCTTGTTGGTGGGGCAAGGTGCGTCGCCCTGCTCCCCTTGTTGGTGGGGCGAGTGCGTCGCCCTGCTCCCCTTGTTGGTGGGGCGAGGTGCGTCGCCCTGCTCCCCTTGTTGGTGGGGCGAGTGCGTCGCCCTGCTCCCCTTGTTGGTGGGGCAAGGTGCGTCGCCCTGCTCCCCTTGTTGGTGGGGCGAGTGCGTCGCCCTGCTCCCCTTGTTGGTGGGGCGAGGTGCGTCGCCTGCTCCCCTTGTTGGTGGGGCAAGGTGCGTCGCCCTGCTCCCCTTGTTGGTGGGGCGAGTGCGTCGCCCTGCTCCCCTTGTTGGTGGGGCGAGTGCGTCGCCCTGCTCCCTTTGTTGGTGGGGCGAGGTGCGTCACCCTGCTCCCCTTGTTGGTGGGGCGAGTGCGTCGCCCTGCTCCCCTTGTTGGTGGGGCGAGTGCGTCGCCCTGCTCCCCTTGTTGGTGGGGCGAGGTGCGTCGCCCTGCTCCCCTTGTTGGTGGGGCGAGTGCGTCGCCCTGCTCCCCTTGTTGGTGGGCTGACCCTTGATCTTCACAGTAGGTCGTGATGTTGCTGTCCCTTGATCTTCACAGTAGGTCGTGATGTGGCTGACCCTTGATCTTCACAGTAGGTCGTGATGTTGCTGTCCCTTGATCTTCACAGTAGGTCGTGATGTGGCTGACCCTTGATCTTCACAGTAGGTCGTGATGTTGCTGACCCTTGATCTTCACAGTAGGTCGTGATGTTGCTGACCCTTAATCTTCACTGTAGGTCGTGATGTGGCTGTCCCTTGATCTTCACAGTAGGTCGTGATGTTGCTGCCCCTTGATCTTCACTGTAGGTCGTGATGTGGCTGCCCCTTGATCTTCACAGTAGGTCGTGATGTGGCTGCCCCTTGATCTTCACAGTAGGTCGTGATGTTGCTGTCCCTTGATCTTCACAGTAGGTCGTGATGTGGCTGCCCCTTGATCTTCACAGTAGGTCGTGATGTGGCTGACCCTTGATCTTCACAGTAGGTCGTGATGTTGCTGTCCCTTGATCTTCACAGTAGGTCGTGATGTTGCTGTCCCTTGATCTTCACAGTAGGTCGTGATGTGGCTGCCCCTTGATCTTCACAGTAGGTCGTGATGTGGCTGACCCTTGATCTTCACAGTAGGTCGTGATGTGGCTCCCCATTGTTAAAAAAAATCAAATCAAATGTTTATTCAGGTAAAAGTACTTATATAGAGTAACATAATGTAGGGTTTATAGATATAGCGAGTACATACAATACCTAAACCCACTAATACGCAAAGCGTTTCGGGCAAGGAGTGGAAAAAACATTTAGACTAAAACTTAATACTATTTGAGATTATAATATAAATTGTGTTAAAGGGAAAGGGGGGGGGGGGATATATTGCAGAAATCAGCAATTAAACAAGTTGGTCAACAAACAGTATTGTTTGAAAATAGCAAGACATTGGTTGACATTTAGGGGGTAAGGTAGGTTACATGGAGTTTATTAGGTAGTACTTAGTTTTCATCTTAAAATAAAATAAAATGTTTATTTAGGTAAGATACATACAATAAATTTTTACAAAGATTGGTTGACTTATAGGTAGAGCTAGTACATACAATGCCTAAAGCCACTATTACGCAAAGCGTTTCGGGCATGATAAACTTAAATGACTAAAGCTTAATAGTAATTGAGCATAATGAGTAGAATGAAAACAAGAAATGAAAACATAGATGAAAAAGCAGCACAAATACAATTATGTCTTAAACTGGTTGAGAGAGGTACAGCCTTTAACATGATTGGGAAGGTCATTCCACATTCTGGGCCCCTTGATTTGTAGAGCATTTCTAGTTTGATTAAGTCGTACTCTTGGAATATCAAAACTGTATTTATTTCTGGTGTGGTGCTCATGGGTTCTGTTACAACCTTCTATGAAGCTTTTGAGGTCAGGATTGGCATTACAGTTCAGCGTTTTATATATGTATAATACACATGAGAGAATGTGCAGTGACTTAATGTCTAACATATTCAGAGATTTGAGTAGGGGTACCGAGTGATGTCTGGGGCCAGAATTGGATATTGTCCTAATAGCAGCTTTGTGTTGAGTAATTAGAGGACGTAAGTGATTTTGGGTAGTAGAGCCCCAAGCACAAATACCATAGTTGAGATATGGATAGATAAGGGAGTAATAGAGAGTCACCAGGGCAGGGCGTGGTACATAATATCTGATCTTAGAAAGAATGCCAACAGTTTTTGAAACTTTTTTTGATATGTTTAGAATGTGTCCCTGGAAATTCAGCTTGTGGTCAATGAGAATGCCAAGGAATTTGCCATCTCATTTGTTACAAATTTGGGTATTGTTTATTTTGAGATTTATATGATTAGAGGATTTGTTCCCAGCTTTGGTTTCTCGCGAGTGAATGATGGACACAACCTCTGTAGGGCTGACCGGTGAGTGGAGAAGAGAGTTTGGATAGCTGCCTGAGATACGTGGTAACATGTGTCTGGGTCTGTGGGATTTTCCGGGCAAGGTTAGCACCAACCGATGAAAAGAAGCTATTAAATTCAGTCGCTGTTTCAAGGTCTGTTGCAGGTGTATAACCATCCTTGGAGATTTTTATCTGGTTATATAAATGTTGTTTAGCTCCTAGGATGTTAGCAATGACTCTCCATGTGCTTTTCATGTTACCTTTGGCTTCTTTGAATCTATTCTCGTAATAGGAACGCTTTGCTCTGCTTATGATACTGATAAGCACTGACGAAGACCTCTTAACTACTTCCTTTGCAACTAGGCCAATCCTAAGTTTTTTTCCTATTCCTGTTTCTTGTAGATTGCTTTTAAGTATGCCATAAGTGAGCCAGGGATTATTTATCCTTTTGCCAGTTACTTGCATGGTGAGGAGAGGACAATAAGCATTGTAGAGGCTTAGAATTTTGGAGAGGAATAGGCTTGTTAACGAATTAATATCCTGTGTATTATTAAATTCATATTCCCAGTTTATATTGTGGAGGGCATTTGTGAGGTTGCCTATTGCTGCTTCACTGTGTAACCTTAAGGTAATTATCTTGTTAGCGTTGGTGTTATGGCCATGTCCGCTACCAGGAAGGTAGTATAGTGGTCAGTTGTTGTGTGGTGGTGTTATGGCCAGGTCCGCTACGAGGAAGGTAGTATAGTGGTCAGTTGTTGTGTGGTGGTGTTATGGCCATGTCCGCTACCAGGAAGGTAGTATAGTGGTCAGTTGTTGTGTGGTGGTGTTATGGCCAGGTCCGCTACGAGGAAGGTAGTATAGTGGTCAGTTGTTGTGTGGTGGTGTTATGGCCATGTCCGCTACCAGGAAGGTAGTATAGTGGTCAGTTGTTGTGTGGTGGTGTTATGGCCAGGTCCGCTACCAGGAAGGTAGTATAGTGGTCAGTTGTTGTGTGGTGGTGTTATGGCCAGGTCCGCTACCAGGAAGGTAGTACAGTGGTCAGTTGTTGTGTGGTGGTGTTATGGCCAGGTCCGCTACCAGGAAGGTAGTATAGTGGTCAGTTGTTGTGTGGTGGTGTTATGGCCAGGTCCGCTACCAGGAAGGTAGTATAGTGGTCAGTTGTTGTGTGGTGGTGTTATGGCCATGTCCGCTACGAGGAAGGTAGTATAGTGGTCAGTTGTTGTGTGGTGGTGTTATGGCCAGGTCCGCTACGAGGAAGGTAGTATAGTGGTCAGTTGTTGTGTGGTGGTGTTATGGCCAGGTCCGCTACGAGGAAGGTAGTATAGTGGTCAGTTGTTGTGTGGTGGTGTTATGGCCAGGTCCGCTACGAGGAAGGTAGTATAGTGGTCAGTTGTTGTGTGGTGGTGTTATGGCCAGGTCCGCTACGAGGAAGGTAGTATAGTGGTCAGTTGTTGTGTGGTGGTGTTATGGCCATGTCCGCTACGAGGAAGGTAGTATAGTGGTCAGTTGTTCTGTCAGTGATTATACCAGATGTAAGGGGAGCTGTTATGTTGGTCCATAAGTGGTCCAGGGTAGTAGCGGATGTTTGAGTGACTCGGGTGGCCCTGGTGAGTGTGGGGATGAGCATACAGGAATTCATACTGTTAAGGAAATAGTCAACTTGAGGGCTATTTTGTTGACCTAGGTCAATATTGAAGTCTCCTCCCAGAACTATGTGATTTTTGTTGAAGTTATTGTTTATGATAAGAGAGGGGAGCCGGTCGGCCGAGCGGACAGCACGCTGGGCTTGTGATCCTGTGGTCCTGGGTTCGATCCCAGGCGCCGGCGAGAAACATTGGGCAGAGTTTCTTTCACCCTATGCCCCTGTTACCTAGCAGTAAAATAGGTACCTGGGTGTTAGTCAGCTGTCACGGGCTCCCTGACAGGCCTTATAGTCGACTATAGTCGAGATGATTTCTGGGCTTTTTAGTGTCCCCGCGGCCCGGTCCTCGACCAGGCCTCCACCTCTGGAGGCCTGGTCGAGGACAGGGCCGCGGGGACATTAAAAAGCCCAGAAATCATCTCAAGATAACCTCAAGATATAAGATTCCTCTTAGTTGAGGTGATGGTGTTATCGTGGATATACATGGTTTGCTGGTGCTTGTTGACGTCCTTTGTACTGATTAACCTGTTCTTACATTTATGGGCCAATTGTCGTCTGGTGTTTATGTTGCCGTTGAACTTGCTGGGTACAATGTAGAGAACATAGGAGGTCCTTTTGTCGTCGTCCTCGACTTTATCGTCGTGGGTCGCAACGCCATTCTCGTCAACGTCGGTGTCGACTTTGGAGCGCCTCCTGGTGTGGGTTGTCGGAGTTACGGATGGTCCGTCGTCGTCTTCGGATGTGATGTCGAAGTTGGTAATCGCAGCCATGGCGGCGTCCCTGTTTCTGGACTGGTTGTGGGGCCGGCAGGCGGAGAAGGTCGCCTGGTGCTGTCACCGTCGGCAGTCCATTAGCAGTCAGAAGCCGGTTGATGGTGTGGACGTATAGGTTGATGTGGTTGTCCGCCAGGTTGTCGGCGAGGTGTAGAAGTACCGGTAGCAGGACGTTATTGGATTATTTCACTGTTGGGGATTATTGTTATTGCATTATTTCATTGTTGGGAATTATTGTTATTGGATTATTTCATTGTTGGGGATTATTGTTATTGGATTATTTCATTGTTGGGGATTATTGTTATTGCATTATTTCATTGTTGGGGATTATTGTTATTGGATTATTTCATTGTTGGGGATTATTGTTATTGGATTATTTGATATGGTAGCTCATAGTCCACCATCCGCTCTAGTTCCCACCAACGTGCACCCGCCGCAAGTGCAACCCGTCCTCTTAAAATAACTTGGCTTTTCGCTTATATGCGTTATGGCTAAACATGGACGTAACATGAAATTAAATCTGCTTACAAAAGTTATGTACTGCCCCGTTTTCTGTTTGAGTCCGGCTTACTTGGTAAGATAAGGAGAGGAAACTTTCAATTAACGGTTTTCATGACGTTTTGAAACCTTAGAACTTCCTGCCCTCATAACCTGCCAGCGGATCCTTAACTTGCTGTTTTGGAAAACAAAAAATCCAAAATTTATTTTCAGTTATTTTTCATTTTTACATTACGTCCGTTTTCGGCCATACGGGCAAACGGCCAAATTCAGACGTATTCTGCTAGAGGACAGCCCTCCAGGGGCCAGAGTCACGAAAGCACTTACGCAAGCACTTACGAACGTGTACATCTTTCGCCAATCTTTGGCGGCTTTGGTTACATTTATTAAACAGTTTACAAGCATGAAAACTTCCCATTCAACTGTTGTTATTGTTATAAACAGCCTCCTGGTGCTTCGGAGCTCATTAACTGTTTAATAATTGTAAACAAAGCCGCCAAAGATTGAGAAAAGATATACAGGTTCGTAAATGCTTGCCTAAATGCTTTTGTGAATCTGGCCCCAGGTCTCTACCCCTTCCCAGTTCTCATTATATCTTCCGCCTCCACCTGTTTCCACCTGGAGCCCGCCACCTCTGCACATGCCCTCTCACTCCCCCATAGCTCCACCTGCCCACCCATAGTACCTTCCCTTTCACCCTATGCCCCTGTTACCTAGCAGTAAAAATAGGTACCTGGGTGTTAGTCAGCTGTCACGGGCTGCTTCCCGGGGGTGGAGGCCTGGTCGAGGACCGGGCCGCGGGGACACTAAAGCCCCGAAATCATCTCAAGATAACCCTCCCCCCTCTCTTCTCAGCTTTTGCCCGCAAGAATTTTTTTTTCACATCTCTCACTGTTATTTACTGTGTTATTTTCATTTTACCTGTTCTAGATCTCTCTCTGTAATGTTCTCTCACGCTATCTGTTGAATGAGATGAAGTGTAGTGGATGAATGTTTCCTGTGAAGCAGTAATTACTGTCCATCCCGCTGATAATCTGCGTATCCACCTTACTTGGAGTTTTTAACCCGTATTTGTCAATACTCAAGTGTAACTGCACAACTTCTCTATACAAAATAATGCTCCCTCTGTGTTCTCCAAATGTTCTTCATGTTCTTGTAACGTTCTTCAAGTTCTAACATGTTCTGTTTACGTTCTTTGTTTAATCCTCGTGTACTGTGTTTGTTCAATTTACTGTTTTCATGTTCACAGCAAGTACTCTGCATGTTCTCATTACGTTATTGATGTTCTCTGCAAGTTCAATTCATATTTTCCGCATGTTCTCTAGTGTTCTTCGCATGCTCATACATGTTCTCTGTATTTCTTTAAGCCAAAATGTACAATTGTTTCAGTTATATCTTTGCTTACGCTTTGCATGTTCTCCGAACATTGACTTAAACAAGAAACAAATACTACAGTTGAAAAATGATAACAAACATAACAAAATAAGCTACACCTGTAAGGTTAGGTTGAGGATAATATATAATAGATAATATACAGGGGCCTCGTAGCCTGGTGGATAGCGCGCAGGACTCGTAATTCTGTGGCGCGGGTTCGATTCCCGCACGAGGCAGAAACAAATGGGCAAAGTTTCTTTCACCCTGAATGCCCCTGTTACCTAGCAGTAAATAGGTACCTGGGAGTTAGTCAGCTGTCACGGGCTGCTTCCTGGGGGTGGAGGCCTGGTCGAGGACCGGGCCGCGGGGACACTAAAGCCCCGAAATCATCTCAAGATAACCTCAAGAAGAAGATCCCACAAAAATATTCCCAACACTAAAAACAAATAAAACTATATCTGTAAGGTTGGGTTATGCACAAGGAATAAATAAATAATTAAATAAATAAGCGCAAATTATATCCAAGACAATAAATACATAAACATGAGAAAGAGGTAAGTAAAAAGAGAGAAATATCCAACACACCGAACACGTAAGATGAGAGAAAGGTAAGGTGAAAGGTAAGTAGGAAGCAGTCTTTATACAGTCTCCGTGGTGTAGTGGTAAGACACTCGTCTGGCGTTCCGCGAGCGCTTTGTCAGGGGTTCGTATCCTGGCCGGGGAGGATTTACTGGGCGCAAATCCTTAACTGTAGCCTCTGTTTAACTCAACAGTAAAATGTGTACTTGGTTGTAACAAGGATTCTTCGCGGCGGGGATCGTATTCCAGGGACCTGCCCGAAACGCTACGCGTACTAGTGGCTCTACAAGAATGTAACAACTCTTGTATATATCTCAAAAAAATAAAAAAATAAAAATATATGGGAGCCCCACCGCGCCTTGTGGGGCTCCCACCTGCATGATCACACATGCTTTTCTACCATCTCTTTATATATATTTGTAATTATTGTATATGAAACTTTATTACACAAAATAAGTTACAAATCTGGTATTGTCATCCTTGGTGATATTTAGTGTCCTCTGATTATCCCGCACATTTGATGGTGCTACATAGCCTTCCCGGTTTGGTGCCTTCTTTTGATAATTACTTACTTACTAATTTGGTTACATACAAGGTACAAAGTTAGTCGTCACAGGCTGTTGAGTTCTTGTAGCTCCTCAGATAGCAGGTAGGAACCCTGAATGTCGTGTGCAGTTCCCTGTATTGCCACACTCAGCTGCTGGAAGAAGCTGCCGGCTGTAGGGTCTGTGCTTGTTTCAATTAGCATAGAACCCATGGTAGAACCCATGGTAGAACCCATGGTAGAACCCATGGTAGAACCCATGGTAGAACCCATGGTAGAACCCATGGAGACCGAGAACTCATGATATAACCCATGGTGGTGTTAGAGGGCGCCGGGAACCCCAACACTGGGTTCCGTTAAGGAAATATCGATGCTGATTACCGTCATTGGCGAGATACCTTATCACACTTGACACGTGCCTCGTGTGCAGGTGTTTGCTGGCTCATGTGTGGTAGGAGGAGCCTGGCTGCCTCTTATGACCACCAACATGGGCGGGCGCTGGGAGGCTAGCCAAGTGTAGAGGCTGGACGGATGGTTAGCTGGCCATGGCAGGTTCACTCATGACGTACAAGATTTCTCTCCCTCAGGAAAACAATTATTCATTATCTATAAGACTGTAAAAGGTATATTCGGTTAGTGTTATAAATTATGCCCATTTAGCAACTGAAGAGAGAAAGTAACCGCCATTGAGATATGATAACGTGATCCGGATGTACATTTAAGGGTTGTAGGGGGTGAGGTGTGCTGCCAACTGTGAGTGCAGGTGGCTGCAGAAGCCCTCCAACCACTGGACCTAACACAGGTCTACCAGTTTACCTCTCTTGTTTCTTCGTGTAAACCAAGGCGACTTGTGGCTCGTAAGCTGAGGAGGGCCAAGTGTCTGCAGCGACACTCAAGATGGTGGCCGCGTCCAGCTGGAGGAGCACGTCCTCTGTGTTGCTGGCCGCCTTGTCTCTTGTCTTGTTGCTCGCAAGTCCTTCTGGCGGGAACCAGGTCAACACCTACCGTAGGGGCCCTTACAACCCCCACCACTTGTAAGACCATAATATATCTTGTATTAACCACCCTCTTATTGTTATATTCTACTGGTAAATAACACCTTAAAAGTATTTAATTATACTGTACACACACACATATATAGGCCCTTAGGATTCTGTACATCGGGTGATTGGCAGTTGAGAGGCGGGACCAAAGAGCCGAAGCTCAACTCCCACAAGCACAACTAGGTGAGCACACACACACCATCGTTCAGGACCTGGTATACCACTTATGTAAGACCAATCCTGGAGTATGCAGCTCCAGCCTGGAGTTCATACCTAGTTAAACACAAGACAAAGTTAGAGAAGATTCAGAGGTATGCCACCAGGCTGGTCCCGAAACTGAGAGGTATGAGCTACAAGGAAAGGCTAAGGGAGCTGAACCTCACATCCCTGGAAAACAGAGAAGTAAGGGGAGACATGATAACCACCTACAAAATTCTCAAGGGAATTGACAGGGTGGACAAAGACAAACTCTTTAGCACAGGTGGGACACGAACAAGGGGACACAGGTGGAAACTTAGTACCCAGATGAGCCACAGAGACATTAGAATTTTTTCAATGTCAAGAGTAGTTAACAAATGGAATGCATTAAGTAATGATGTGGTGGAGGCTGACTCCATACACAGTTTCATATGTAGATTTGATAGAGCCCAATAGGCTCAGGAATCTGTACTCCAGTTGATTGACAGTTGAGAGGCGGGACCAAAGAGCCAGAGCTCAACCCCCGCAAGCACATCTAGGTTAGTACAGGAGCGGTAGTGATAGTTTTTACCTAGAGGTGCTTGCTGGGTCGAGCTCCAGCGTCCACGCCCAACCTATTGAACATTTTGTAGTGTAATGGAATACCTCTGTTCTTTTACTGCTCTTATTGTATTTATATTTGTGTGTCAACTTCGACCACGTCTTCGCCCAACGCACTCCAATTATTTACTATCCCGATATTGAAGGATTTATGTATGACATCTGGAGTATACCTGGATGGTACCTGGATGAGGTTCTAGGAGTTCTACTCTCCAAGTCCGGCCCGGGGCCAGGCATGACTTGTGAGAGCTTGGTCCACCAGGCTGTTGCTTGGAGCGGCCCGCAGGCCCACATATCCACCACAGCCCGGTTGGTCCGGCACTTCTTGCAGATAAGTGTTCAGTTTTTGTTAAAGACTTCCACTTTTCTTCCGGTAATATTTCTTATACTTGCTGGGAGTATATTAAACATTTGTGGACCTCTGATGTTCATACAGTGTTCTCTGTCTCTATGGCATCTCTGTTCTTCACCGGCTCTGTTCAGCATTTCCTACCATATCGTTCACTCCAGTATGTTGTTATTTTACTATGTAAATTTGGGACCTGGCCCTCCAGTATTTTCCATGTATATATTATTTGATACCTCTCGTGTCTCCTTTCTAGAGAGTACATTCTGAGAGCTGTGAGACGATCCCAATAATTTAGGTGCTTTATCGTGTCTGCGTGCCGTATATGTTCTCTGTATTCCCTCTTATTTCAGCTATCTCTCCTGCTCTGAAGGGGGAAGGGAGTACTGAGCAGTACTCAAGACGGGACAGCACAAGTAATTTGAAGAGTACAACCATTGTGATGGGATCCCTGGATTTGAAGGTTCTCGTAATCCATTCTATCCTTTTTCTGGCTGACGCAATATTTGCTTGGTTATGCTCCCTAAACGTTAGACCGTAAGACATCATTATTCCCAAATCCTTGACATGCTGTTACCTAAGTACTTGGAATTTATCATTGTTAGTCATTATGTTATTTTTCTGCTCCCCAGACGAAAATTTTATTAATATCAACTTGTAGTTTTTGAATGTTCTTCAGAAGTAATTTTCATGCTGATTTTTGTGTTATCTGCAAAAGATGACACGAAGCTGTGACTTTTTGTCTATATCAAAGTTATTTTTGTCTATATCTGAAATGAGAATAAGGAAAAACAGTGGTGCCAGAACTGTGCCCTGTAGTATAGTTTTTCACTATGCTTGGACTCGATTTTATTTGATTAACTTTTACTCTTCGCGTTCTGTCCTACTTTACATGTTATTCCTACTGACCTTATTTATTGGGCCATCACTTGAGTCACATTTATCAAAGGCCTTGGCAAAATCCGTGTATACAACATCTGCAATTTTTCTTCTAATGCATCTGTGATTTTGTTATAGTGGTTGAGTAGCGGTGAAAAGCATGACCTTCCCGCTCTATATCCATGTTGTCCTGGGTTGTGGAGGTCATTTCTCTCCACAACACTGCAGATTTGAATTTTGCCCCGAGGGGCGAGTTTATTGGCTAGCGTCACTCATCCTGTGAGTGGACATACCGCCATAGTAACAGTATTGGGCAGTGCCACTCATCCTGTGAGTGGACACACCGCCATAGTAACAGTATTGGGCAGTGCCACTCATCCTGTGAGTGGACACACCGCCATAGTAACAGTATTGGGCAGCGTCACTCATCCTGTGAGTGGACACACCGCCATAGTGACAGTATTGGGCAGCGTCACTCATCCTGTGAGTGGACACACCGCCATAGTAACAGTATTGGGCAGCGTCACTCATCCTGTGAGTGGACACACCGCCATAGTGACAGTATTGGGCAGCGCCACTCATCCTGTGAGTGAACACACCGCCATAGTGACAGTATTGGGCAGCGCCACTCATCCTGTGAGTGAACACACCGCCATAGTGACAGTATTGGGCAGCGCCACTCATCCTGTGAGTGGACACACCGCCATAGTGACAGTATTGGGCAGCGCCACTCATCCTGTGAGTGAACACACCGCCATAGTGACAGTATTGGGCAGCGCCACTCATCCCGTGAGTGGACACACCGCCATAGTGACAGTATTGGGCAGCGCCACTCATCCTGTGAGTGAACACACCGCCATAGTGACAGTATTGGGCAGCGCCACTCATCCTGTGAGTGGACACACCGCCATAGTGACAGTATTGGGCAGCGCCACTCATCCTGTGAGTGGACACACCGCCATAGTGACAGTATTGGGCAGCGCCACTCATCCTGTGAGTAGACACACCGCCATAGTGACAGTATTGGGCAGCGTCACTCATCCTGTGAGTGGACACACCGCCATAGCAGCATGTACAACACTCCCCAATAGGAAGAAAACCCGCTGGGTTGTTCATCCTGTCACTTGTACCCAGACACAGCTGGGACTTGTTTAACTGTCTCAAGTATGCAGATATGACTCCTGATCACTCTCTCAAACACTTACATTATGTGGGGCGCCAGTGCGGCTGGTCTGTTGTTCTTAGTCAATTCCTTGTTCTGTACCTTGTGTAGAGGCGCTATATCTGTGATATATGTGCTTCTGGAACCTTCCCCGTGTCCAAACTTTTTCTTCACACTACACTGAGTGCTTGTGCTACTGGCACTTTACATTTCTTTATAAATATTGAATTCCATGAGTCTGGACTCGGGATCGAGTGCATGTTGTCAATCTCTTTCAAAATCTGCAGAGTTCGTGTTGATATCGTGAATATTGAGTTGGTTCAGTATTGGTTGGTTTATATCGGTTTAATTTTGAGGGCTTGGATATCATGCATAAATAGCAGTCCGGTTCTTCCACTTTCATTCTGTTAACTTGGGTGCTAAACACGTCCTCATATTGCTTTCTTAGCATTTCACTAATTTGTTTGCCGTCCTCTGTGTATGAACCTTCACTTGTAAGTATAGGTCCAATACTGACGGAGGTTTTTAACTTAGATTTCGCCCATGTAAAGAAGTATTTTAGATTTTCTTTATCTCTTGTATGACTTATAAATGCGTTTCTTCAGTCTGATACGGTTGTTTCTGTCACTGCGTTATTTATAAATAAATAAATATGTTTATTCAGGTAAGGTACATACATACGAGTGATGTTACATTAATGGATTGATATATAGATAGAGCTAGTACATACAATGCCTAAAGCCACTATTACGCAATGCGTTTCGGGCATTTCTTCTATCTCCCTTATTAACGTTCTTCGTCTCGAGTGTCCATCTACGTTACCTCTTCCTCATGTTAATTGCCCCACAGTCGTAGCCATTCCTGAACCATTCTCACTAACATATGCATCTTGTTAAAACTTCCATGGACAGTGTTAGAGATTTTACACTAAATATACTGTAGTATAATTGTCAGTGTTATGTATCAGTCAGTAATATCAGTATCACGTTATCAGTGTCAATACTTGCAGCAGGTGGCCAGGTGTGGCCCCCCACCTTCCTCCCGACCATGATAGTGCAGGTGGCCAGGTGTGGCCCCCCACCTTCCTCCCGACCATGATAGTGCAGGTGGCCAGGTGTGGCCCCCCACCTTCCTCCCGACCATGATAGTGCAGGTGGCCAGGTGTGCCCCCCCCCCACCTTCCTCCCGACCATGATAGTGCAGGTGGCCAGGTGTGGCCCCCCACCTTCCTCCCGACCATGATAGTGCAGGTGGCCAGGTGTGCCCCCCCCACCTTCCTCCCGACCATGATAGTGCAGGTGGCCAGGTGTGGCCCCCCCACCTTCCTCCCGACCATGATAGTGCAGGTGGCCAGGTGTGGCCCCCCACCTTCCTCCCGACCATGATAGTGCAGGTGGCCAGGTGTGGCCCCCCCACCTTCCTCCCGACCATGATAGTGCAGGTGGCCAGGTGTGGCCCCCCACCTTCCTCCTGACCATGATAGTGCAGGTGGCCAGGTGTGGCCCCCCCCACCTTCCTCCTGACCATGATAGTGCAGGTGGCCAGGTGTGCCCCCCCCACCTTCCTCCCGACCATGATAGTGCAGGTGGCCAGGTGTGGCCCCCCCCCCTTCCTCCTGACCATGATAGTGCAGGTGACCAGGTGTGGCCCCACCTTCCTCCCGACCATGATAGTGCAGGTGGCCAGGTGTGGCCCCCCACCTTCCTCCCGACCATGATAGTGCAGGTGGCCAGGTGTGGCCCCCCCCCCCCCCCCACCTTCCATCTAAGACAAACCTTGTTAATATAATCTTAGACAGTAATGTTTCAGAGTAATTGACATGTCTGTCAACTGTTACCGATTTTTTGTTTCTTTGTTAAGGTCGAGCTGCGCTCTGTTCCTCGTTTGCTTAACTCTCAGGTCCTCTTTCTTCTACAGTCCCGACGGACTCGAAGGCTCCGGGCGACCTACAAGTCCTTCCTTCTTCGGATCTCTCAGAGCTAAACGACAGTTTCCTGCTAAAACCCCGCATCATCTGGTTGACGTCGAGCGTCTGGATCCTGAGGACCTCGAGGGTTTCAGGTCAGAACCTGATGGAAGTAGGAAGGGTTCGACCAAGTTCGGGAACCGGTATTCAGTTCCAGGGCTTGCGTCCAATGGAGGTCGTCCTCGGGTCAACCCCATACCACAGCCTGTAGAGGAGGAGTTCTCATATTTGCCCCCGGAGAAGCCTACCAAAGAAGGCTCGTAAGTAGTAAGGAGCGCGGATATGCTCTACATCTCACAAGTCACTACTGTACATATTATTTAGATATAAACATTAGCACATTGTTGTACAGTAATGGTACGAACCCTACGCTTCCTATAGTGTTTAACACTGTAACCTGCTTCTCATCTCCTTTCTTATTAGCGGTAATCTCTATCATTCAATTTGTGTTCACACTTAAGTCATTATTATATATCTAAATATTTCATATAATTATTATTATTATTATTATTTTATAAATATTATTATTTTTATAATTATTATTTCCATTATTATTATATATTTTATGAACAAAATGTGTATTTTAAAGAAATGCTTATATTGGGTGTTTTCTTTAAAATAAAATGTAATTACATATGCTATAAACTGTTGAACTCTTATATTAAATTCTGATAGATTAACTGACCCAAGGTTACAAATTTCGCAACGAATTGAAATCAGTAACTGATTTGTCAATTACAATAATTCAGAATATTTGAATTGTGTATTTTCCAAACTGTACACCAGCAATTGTATGACATTGTTTCCGTATATTAATATACGAAAGTATATTAATATACGAAAGTACTTAAGGAAATTCCTGTTTCAATTTTCCTCTGTGGTCTGACACTGTCACATTTGTAATCACGTATTTATCGTGATTTACACACACACACACACACACACACACACACACACACACACACACACACACACACACACACACACAACTAGGAAAACTAGGAAGGGAGGAGGAGTGGCTGTACTGGTGAAAAAACACCTGAAGGTAAGAGAGTTAATATTTGAAAACCCTCGAGATATTGACATAATGGCATTGCAGGTCTGGAATCAGGATGATAAGCTGATAATTTTAAATGCCTACAGTCCACCAGCAAGCAACACATGGACAAAGGAAGAACTAGATGACAAACGAGAGGGCCTCATAATGGTCATGAGAGATATTATTGCACAAGCAGATAAAGATAAATCACGACTGTTGATACTGGGGGACTTCAACTTTAAAGCAATAGACTGGGAGGCCTATGAAGCAAGAACGGAGGACTTTTGGACATGCAGATTTGTGAACCTCATTCTGGAGACATTCTTGTATCAACACATAAAGCAGGCCACAAGAATGAGGGAAGGAGATGTACCATCAGTACTGGATCTAGTATTCACCAGGAAAGAAGAAGAGATATTTGACATCCAGTACCTTCCTCCCTATGCCAAATTTTGCAAAATATACGAGGAAGGCACACAAACATTCTTACCAAAACAGAGATGCAGGGCTAGAACACAGGATTGGTTCAACAGAAATTGTGAGGGCCAGAGACTAAAAGACACAAAAATGGAATCAGTATAGGAAGAGGCCAAACCCCCAAACATACCAGCGATACAAAGATGCGAGAAACAACTATACGGCAGTAAGGAGAGAGGCAGAAAGAAATTTTGAAAAAGGGATAGCGGATAAATATAAAACAGAACCGGGCCTATTCTACAAATTCATAAACAACAAATTGCAGGTAAAGGATAATATCCAGAGGTTGAAAATGGGAAACAGATTCACGGAAAATGAAAATGAAATGTGTGAAACATTAAATGAAAAGTTCCAAAGTGTGTTTGTACAAAATGAAATCTTCAGAGAACCAGACACAATAAGAATTCCAGAGAACAACATAGAGCGTATAGAGGTGTCTAGAGATGAAGTGGAAAATATGCTAAAGGAGCTCAGTAAGAACAAAGCAGTTGGCCCAGATGGAGTTTCACCGTGGGTTCTGAGAGAATGTGCATCTGAGCTCAGCATTCCACTTCACCAGATCTTTCAGGCATCCCTGTGTACAGGAATCATAGCAGACGTGTGGAAACAGGCTAACATAGTTCCAATCTACAAAAGTGGCAGCAGGGAAGACCCCCTCAATTATAG